CATGCTTTCCCTGTGTATACTGACCCCATGAACTCTATGCTTTCTTATGCTCCCTGAGGCATTGCCACACAGTAATGGAGTTCATCTGTCTTTTCATATGTTCTGACTTATTGCCAGTCTTGCACTTTGGGGCTATTAATCAAAAGCATGGTTACCTGAAACAAGCTGTGGTACTGTGACAGCCAATGTGGTACCTGAGAAGGCTACTGCATGACTAAATGCATGGGCAGCATATATAGTGTGGATATTGACCAAAGGGCAATCCAGAGCAGGACAGAGTGGGGTAACACTAAGTGACGCTTCAGCACGCTCTTCAGCATAGCACAGAACTTACAATTTATAGACTGTTCATTCCTGGAACTTGCCAGTCAATATTTTTAGATGGGAGGTACATGTGGATAGCAGACCTCTAGACTGGGCAGGCTACTGAATTTAGAAAGGAGGTAGTTTTACATTTGCTGGTATTGTAAGGGGGTTCTTAACAAAGGGATAATTACTCCCTTTCTCATAACTGTAAATCAGCTGTTCTCAACCTGTGGGTCACGACCCCTTTGACAAACTGCTATCTCCAAAAATATGTACATTATGATTCATAACAGTATCAAAATTACAATTATGAAGTAACATCCAAGATAATTGTATGGTTGGGGTCACCACAGCATGAGGATCTGTATTAAAGGGTCGCAGCACTAGGAAGGTTGAGAACCACCGCTGTAGGTCAATGCTTACAATGACCATGACTTGATCTGTTGGTCAGGAGCAGTCCAGGAAGGAGATGTGAACGGGACAGTGGTGGCCAGATGGACCCAGCAAGGGCATTAGGGCTGCAGGTGCTGTTACACCAGGGTGAACCACACAGAGCTGTGGTGGGAGCGCCTGGACTAGGCATCTGAGGAGTCTGCACTACACATGGAGAACCAAATGCTCCTGACTGCCAGACCTGAGTCTGAAGGCTGTTGTCATCTGAAGCCTGATCAAGAGCTTGGGACGATCAATTTCCCTTGGGGACTCAGTAGCTGCACAGAACATACTGTACACTATTCTCTGTCTACGCTGTTAATGAAACACGAGTCAATGTGTAGCTTACAGTCATAAACAGCACTGCTGTTTTGCAGAGGAAATGCCTGGTAATCTTGAGAAGGGCTCACAATAGCAGTAGTTAGCCAGACTCAGTTTGGCTGAAGTGTCAAGTCATGTTCCTTGGCATTCATGGAGATAGGACCAGGGGCCTTGACTGGACTTTCAGAGTAGAACTTACTGGGCCTCAGTCACGTGCTCTGCAATATGTACATTCCCTTTCTGTGCCCCCCAACACTCTGAGGGGTCACCATTTACTATTAGTGTCTAAAGACAAAGAAAACGACCAAATCAGAATTCTTAGCAGAGCAAAGATACCTAAAGAGGACTAGAAATAAATAGTCAGTAAGCAAAAGAGATCCCGTCGTGTAACAAGGAACTAACATTGGGGTTCTTAGTGAGAAATCAAGTAATGGCAATGTGATGGTTACAAAGGAAGGGTCTGGAAGGAGGTTGAAGTCTGTCTAAAAGCAGAGAGACTGAACCATTCCTTCATGACTCTGATGGTCCTCTCAGAAGCTCTGGGTCTCCTGGCTGGCTGAGAAACCACCAGAAACAGGAAGGATGAGATGCTGTAGGCAATGACGGAGCTTCTTTGGGTCAGAACTGGATCTGTAGGAAGCCTGGTGAAGTTGGGCAGTGGGAAATTCTGGGTCTCTTGCTGACTCTAAGCCATGCCTAGGCATTTTAAATC